ATCGGATCAACATTTCTTCGTGTATCATCCAAACCAGCACTGCATGCGCATGTTACTTCCCAGGAGACGATTTGAGTGGCCATTTTATACTATCAAATATTTACTTACTTGAATACTTGAGCAACTAACCGCCGCTCACCCCTCCACGCACGCCCACAACCACGGCTACTCCCTCTATTACCCCGCCTTCCCACCAGCCAGGCCATGCAGCCGCTGCGGCCTGGGTAACGTTGTCCTACTTCTCTGGCAAGCTGCCAAATGATCGTCATCGACTTCCCTTGTCACGCTATCGATGAAGCTGGCAACTTCTCCATTCGATTCGTTGCTGCGTTCTCAGAGTCCACGCAATACTGTCCAGGCAGGCCTACCATGGAATCTCTCCACCTCACTGGTGGCCTTCCCAATGTTCGCTTGACTGTGCGCGGGTGCCATTCCATTATCCGCTTCGTCCATCTGTTATCTGACATTCATGCCACATGACCAGCGCATCTCCTCTTTTCGATGTACATTGCTTCAGTAATATCTTTCACGCCAGATCTGACTCCTAGCACTTCAGTTGAAATGTGCTGCAGCCTGTTTGCTTCTATCATCCGTCGCTCCATTGCTCTTTGGGAGACTGCCAATTTCCGTTCTTCAGCAAACGTGGTGTTCCACGTCTCATACCCATATAACATGGCTGGTAGGTTGGATGATTGGCGATTGGTGATTCTCCCATATTGCTCACTAATATTCCCTGTTGATTACCAGTTATTGAACAGCAACCGGTCACATCCAATTACTTTTCCTCGTGATCACAGCGGAAGAAATATTCTATAATAACATGTTTCTTTTTTTATCTTTCGAAAAGTTTGACGTATATCAGTGATGTTGCAGATTTATGCAATTCGTCAGGCCCTAGCAAAAGCTATCGTTGCGTATTACCAGAAGTTTGTCGATGAGCAGACCAAAAAAGAGCTGAAGGATCAGCTTGTGTCGTATGACCGAAATTTATTGGTCGCCGATCCTCGACGCCGCGAACCAAAGAAGTTCGGTGGTCCAGGCGCACGGGCTCGTTACCAAAAATCATATCGATAAGCACC